GGATGAATCTTGGAGAATAGTGTTGGCTGCAAAATCTAGTATCCCAAAGTTATTCAAATGGCACTTTTGAAATAGTGTCATCTTAGAATCAGAGGGTGACTCTTAAAAGACGATGCAAAGGGATCCCTGTGTTGGAAGTATGTCATACTGGAGCCGGCTCCAGCGGCCTTAAGTCAGCCCCCATGTGACAGTTTCAACTGAGAGTGGGAAAAGTTCCAGCGAGGCCAGATAGAGCCCCTATGATGAGATTGGTGTCCTTTAGAGAAGAGGACAGAGTGCCTTCCCCTCTCCAACCCCTGTGTGCCTTGGGCGATGGGGAGTTGGCCATCTGCAGGCCAGGAAGAGAACTCAGCCGAAACTGCTCTTCAACTTTGCAGCTCCAGTCTGAGGTCATGGGAGAACACTGTTATTCAGAGGCTGGGAGTTTGGTCGCAGCACCCATATCTGTTGGCTTATAACCACCTGTGACTGCAGCTTCAGGGCATCCAACACCATTTTTCTTGCCTGGATAAACCCAATCAGACACACAAATAATTACCAAAAAAAAAATACAATGACATGCACTAATACGATGGGAGATGTCATTCTGTAAATCTGTCTCTTATTGGTTGTTGAATAAAGTACTGTTGGCCAATAGGAAAGCAAGATAGGTAAGACTAGGAGTTGAGGAGGATTCTGGGAAACAGAGGCAGAGTGAGACACAGTTTAGCCACCAGAGGAGTAAGAGGTCCGGACCCTTTCTACAGTAAGAAAAATACTTAGATTAACAATTATGGGTTAAATACTTGAGTCAGAACTAGCCAGTAAGAAACAAACAAACGGCCAACAGCTTTATAATTAATATAGTGTCCTGTGTGTTATTTGGGGGTTCAGACAGCAAGGCAGGGCCCAGGAGACTGGCAAGGAAAAAAAAATACACGCTACACTAATATTTATGGGAATTTGCCATTTCCCAACTATGATTCTAAGTACGTTATGTAAAGTAACTTTAACACTTTCGACAGTCACAAGGATTACCGCTCCATCCCAGAGCTGAAACCCTGCTAACAGCAAAGTTAAGTCATGTCCCTAAGATTATGTAGCTACTCCTTTACTCCTTAACACTTTCTATGGCCTCCAGTTGTGACTCCTTTGTTTCTGTACTTAGCATATTCAAGATCTTACCATTTAGAGTATTATCACTAGCTTTTCTATGTGACATAGCTTACATATGTCACTTATCAGTTTCAGGAAGTTCCCCTTTGTTCCAAGTTTCATCCTTTTGTTTAAATGAGTGAGGAGTTTTAGCAAATTCTTTTCCATTCTTTTTATGGATAACATTCTTTAATATGGATAACAGATTTGTAATCATGCATTGCATGTGTGTGCATGCACACTTGTGTGCATACGTGAGTCCAGAAGTACACAACCCAAAGAGGTCATCTACAAGCAGTTGTGAGCTGCCCAACGAGGGGGCAAGGAGCCAAGTCCTCTGCAAGACAAGCACTGGCTCCTAATCACTGATGCTTTTCTCCCCCTCCAACAGATTGATTTTAATGATCAAAAAATGTTGCACTACTATAGCAAACTCCTCTTATTAAATAATCATCATTTTGAAATACTGAATTCAAGATTTTTCTTCATAAGAATAGTGACCAATTTTTTGTGACCTTTATATTTTTTGGTTCTTTACTCCATTTTCTGTAAGTCTGTGTAAAATTGATACTATTTCTCACAGAATTAATTATACTACCTGGCCCAGGAGTTTCCTTTCTGGGAACGCTTTTTTTAACAATGTGTATGTTACATGGAGGCAGTAAAGACTTCATGATTGACTTTATAGTCACTTTGATGATATTTTTTAAAGAATTTGTCCATTTTATTTACATTGTCAAATGTGTTGATATCTTTTTGCTAAATGTAGGACTGTAGTGTGACTGTCCCCCTTTTAACTATTACTAACTTGTGCTATCTTACTGTGGACTTAACCATTTTACTAATAAGGCTATAAAAACAAGCTTGGTTTTATTAGCCTCCTCTACTTGTCTTTTCTATCTCAGATTTTAACTGTGTAATTTTCTTTTTCTTCATACTAGCTTCCAAAAAGTGAAAGCTTATATTGTTAATTTCGATACTTTCCTAGTATAGCATTTCAAGGTTGTAACTTCCCCCTAAATAAGGTTTTATCTGCATATCTTAGAATTCAATAAGTTATATATTAGAATTGCAAAATACTTTCTCATTTGCATGTCTGACTCTCTGTTTACTTAAAAGCATACTGTTTAATTCCAAAATATTTTTCCAGATTACAGTTACTGAATTTAATTCCCCTTTGGTCAGAGAGGGTAATTTATAAGACTACAGTCTTTGAGACTACTTACTAAGACTCTTTATGACAATGTAAACACCCTGTAGTGGAAATTCCATTTACTTGGAAAGAATGCCTTTGCAGTTTGCACTGTGGTGTTTTCTCAGTGTCTTAAGTAAAGGTGGTTCATGGCAAGTCTATTTCCTTGCCTGACTTTTTTGGTCTTGTTCTATCAATTAGAGAGGAGTGCCATTTTTTTTCAGTTATGCTTAGGGATTCTGTCTCTATTCCCATCAGTTTTTTATTCGCATGTTTGGGTGTACAATGCTGTCTCTTCCTCGAATATGTATGGGTTTTCTTTGACCATAATACAATGTTCCTCTCCAGCTTGAAATTTGGTCTTGAGAACCTTTGACAGTAATCACAGCTAATCCAGATGATAGTTTCATATCAATTTCTATGTATTTGTTTTCAATTTGCAATTCTGAAGTTGAGGTATCTCTCTTGTACACTGCTAGCTGATACTGCTTTTATCCAATTTTATTAACCTCTGCCATTTTCATTCAAATGCTGTGTCCCTTTAATTAATTGTCAACTTTAATTTTCCATTTTGCTACTTTCTCATTCAAGATAATTGTTCTATCTTACTGGATTTGATATCAGTTTTTTTTCACTTACGAATTTATTTTTCTCTAAAACTTTTGTTGTTATATGGTAGATGTAACACTATTAAAAAAAAAGATGAAAAACACTGTGGTCTTTGCCTGATACATATTTGTACAATAGCTTAGAGTCCTCTGAACCTGTTTTAGATACAGAAATTGATAAAGTGACTATGGGGTAATAGATATGATGTTTCACTATGACAAACATTTTAATACCTAGATTTATTCCATGACATGGTACTGTACTATATGGAGCACAATAAAATTCACAGTAAAAATAAAATAATTAGCAAGTAAATAAATCATTCCATTGCATTTTCTCTATAGTTAGTAATTTCCTAGGAACTTGTTCATTTCATGTGTATCTCCATGTTGTGCCAAAGAATGTAAAATAGATCCTTATGACTAGAAGATATATGGAATCATCTGTACTCTTCCAACTCCAACTCCGTGACTAGACCAGCCTTAGCCCCACAGCCTTTCCAGAACATACAGATGCCACTGGCTACTCACATAGGCACAACTTTTCCTTCTTTTCGGTTTCGGCCTTTGCTTCTTCATGCTCTTTGAACTTCTGCAAACCTGGCGCACTAACTTTCTATTTTTTTCCGGATTCTCCAGTCTTATCAAGAGCACTGTTCGAATCATAATACTCTACCATTAACACAACAGAAATTGACACATCCTTTTACAAATGAAAAAGCAACAGCAAAGGAAGTAAGTGATGTAAGGGAGGGCACCTTCACAGAAAGAATGGGAAAAAAAAACTTTCAATTTCTTCAGCATAATCAGTGTTTGATCCATGCGGACCTATACCAAGAATGCCCTTCACAGCTTGGGCTGCAATGTTCTGTCAATATCATATAAGTCACGGTGGTTGATATCCTCTGGTCTATGTCCCCTGGAGGGGAGGCGGGCATGTTCTATCTAGTCTTATCAATTAGAGAGGAGTGCTAAATTCTTCAGTTATGTTTATGGATAATTTCTGGATTTGTTTTGGAGCTAGCAGCTACTGTCTTTTTGAAAGTGAAGCATGGTGGCCATGAAACGTATTAACTACAGGACTGGCCGCTAGGTTATCACACAGGAAGGAGAGACTGGATACATGTAGGCAGCTGGGTACTACCAGTGGGGATCATTAGTTTCAATGCATTGATGGTGGAAATCACGCTTCAGAGGTTAATGTGAATGAAGACATCCAGGCAGGCAGAAGGCATTTGCTTCCTGAGCAGTTCTCACTATGAGACCTGAGTGAGAGCAGTGGCCCTTTAGACACTGATAATCACTGCACTCATGAGTATCAGAATACAAATGAGCATCGTATGTGGCAGCACCCTAGGCCCCAACTAGAACTTTGAACTTTCACATATTCTCTCAAGCAATGGCTGATGTGTTCAGGGAGGGAAAATGTAATAATAGCCAGGAACAGAACCAAGTTACACATGGGGAAAGACGCAGAATGGACATCCAAACTCTGGAAATGGAAGGTCTAGAAAATGATTCTGGGTTCAAGAAACTCAACAATGAGAGTTAAACCATAGGTAATTATGAGTCATGTGTTTGTTCACAATTTATTCAATTTTCAAAGACCTCACTTCCAGAGTAAAGAAAGAATAGTTTTCCCAGTTGCCAGCAGTGTACATTAAATATAAAAATAATGAATGAATGCTCTTCTGGAGGGCATCTACATGCTTTTGGATAAGTCACCAAATGCCTATAGTTCCATAAAAGACAAAGTTTAGATACAACTCCCATTGTTCTATAATAAGTTTATAAGATTTCTTCCCTTTTATCGCAAGCCAGTGAATCTTAGATCAGGAGATTCTATAAATTTAATCCAGCTCTCTTGCCAAAGATGTCCTCATACTACATGTACTTTATATTGTTTTAAAAATTGGCTGTTATACACCCTTAATCCTGGTTTTAAAAAAATCTAATGAACCTCTATAAAGGCCTTCACAGAACTGCTCAAGTCCTGACAATTCATTCATTTTTCCCAGTACGTACATTTTGTAAGAAGGTGACAAATTAAGAAGGCTGATGCTATATTTGTTTCAGTAGACTTTATTTACATTCATTTTAATAATAAGCAAAGTCATTAGCTAAAAGTTCAAATAATATGGTCAAAATGCATTTCCTTTAACTTAAGGCACTACAGGTTTCCCTGAAACACTCACTGCATTTACACACTGCTTGAGAACTGACAATAAATACACACTTTACACCTCCATTTCTGTTCATTTTTAATACTATAAATTAACAATAAAATAAACCACTCCACATAAAAGGAATTAAAGCCAATCATCCTTAAAGCTTACAAGATGGGCATGGGAGGGAAACACCTAAGATCAGTGCAAAGGCATTTGATCCTTTAATATTCCAAGGCTTTACCTGTAGATTCTTAAAGGAGGCCTACTGGACAGCACTGCTAGCAAGCCTTTGTCATACCCCTTTGCTCTTACAGAAGAGCACGGATAATAGACTGCTAATAGCAACATCACTGCCCCTCAACTACAAAGTCCAGGTACTTAATTTTGAGCTGGCTCATGGAATTAACAATAATACACCAACATTTTCCTACTACCTTCAGGTACTGTCATCAAGAGCTAAAAGTTTCCTGAAGCCAATACTTTCTCCTGAACACAAAGTACAGCAGAATTTTAGTTAATCATTTGACAATGCACACACACACACACACACACACATACACACACACACACACACACCCCTCTCCATGTCAAAGACTAGTTTTTCTACAAGGTTTTCTCAGAGCAACACTAGAGTCATGAGTTTTAACAGTGATAAACTGTCTCAAAGATACAAATGAATTAGCACAAAGTTCAATATAACAATCTATTTGATAAATAAATCCTATTCTTGTTTCCTGAATATGCACTTTATAAACCATCAACTAGTTCTAGTGCTCTGAGAATAGAATAAAAGACAAAATAAATACAACTGTTGCAAGGGCTAAGACATCAACAGGACTCCCTTCCTTTATATCCCACTGTTTCTAAAAACTGTCATAGGTTGGACACTGTATAAGCCACAATCGAGCTAATAGAGTGACTGGGACCCGCAGCACTGTAGGACTAAAGCACCTTCAACTAATATTAAATACTCTTCTGGAAGACAGCTCAAAGATGTCCACTCAGCTTTTTCAAAGTGACTATGACAGTTGAGTTGTTATATTTTTAAAAAGGAAATTGAAGTATGCAGGAACTTCTCTATTATTTTATTTGGTAAATTCTTTATGCTTTAGTATCACTATTACATGTAACAAGTCAGACCATTAATGAGCAAAATCTGTCCTGGTCTGTTTCTAAAGTACCCAGATTAAGTATATAATACAGAAATGGAAATGTCTCTCAAACCCCAATATTACCAGATATCAGACTTTAGGAAATTAGCAGTGATCCAGTACAATGCAATGCCTCTAAGATGAATGAGGGGTATCGTGTATCTCAGATAGTCAGTGTTTAACTGTGCTGCACATTTACTGTAGAGTCATCTTGTATCTGAAAAGTAATCACCAAGTTTGTTTTATATTGTCAAAATTTCCAATAACACACTAGCAAATGAACCACTGGTCGTTCCTCTAACGGACATCAGGCTATTTGCTCTAATGATACTGGTTCTGAGGAACCAACTAGCAAGGGGATGATGACGGTACTTCACCACAAACCCACAGTTCTCAGGAAAGGTGTTAGAGAGTCAAGGGAGGAAGTGTAGGCTAAAGCCGCTCTGCCCCTCGGCACATGACCTCCGCAAAGAGCAGAAGACTAAACTCCATCTTAGCTTCTCACCACTCTGCTTATAGAAGGCTCATTAAAAGACCTCAAAGGTAAATACAGAAATCCTCACCCGGCAGCTTCATATTCAGGTCGTATTTTTTTTTCCTACGGCATTTGAACACTTCCAATACACATGGGAACTAAAAACTGTAACAGGAGTTTTTAACTGGACTATCTATCAACTTGCAGGTTGATGACAGTATACAACTAAGGTGTGCAAGAAGTGACCGTTACTCTGAGCTGAGCCTCTCCTGGCAGCCATGTCCTGGCACACAGTCCAGTGCCCTTTGTAAGTCACATGGTGTTGGCACATCCACACAAAGACACTTGCACACACAACTGACCAAAGATATCAAACAGAATGGGGAAAACCATTTTTTTCTCTATTTTCTTTAAAATTTCTTATTAACGATAGCATCCAAGAAGTATAACTAAAACAAACAAACAAACAAAACCACAAGGTTGGTTCATAGCCCAGCTGGACTCATTCTCAAGGTCCTCTGCTGCATCCTCCTAACTATTTGGTCTTCAGGTGTCCGCCACCATGCCCAGCTCCAAACACAACTTCTGAGGTGTCAACAGCTAAGGGTCTTAACAAACTCAGACCTTATATTACATAGTCTTAGTTGGTTTTTGCTTGTCTTTAGCAGCTTTACTTAAAATGATTTCTTTGTATGCAACAGCTAGCTATATGATGTGGCTAATCAATTCGTTAGCCATCACAGAATTTCCTACTTCAAGGGTCTGCTTGGGACACACACTACTTAAAGGCAAATATAAAAATATAGCCATCTTTTCTCCAGGATACACAAAATTCACAAATTACATAAATATTTTTGTGTCATTTACAAATATATAATTTTTTTAGAAAAGCATGCCTATTAAATTCTGGTATATTTTCACTTAGAATTAATTTTTATTGAAAAAGAAAGAAAGAAACCAGACTATTTGTTCTCAAAGGCTATTTCTTGTTAGTGAAACAGGTGGTTTTAACCGATCTACCAGCAACTCTACTACTGTCGGGGTCGTTTATATCTGGCAACACAAACAGGACTCAAGAAAAACCAGAGTAATTTTAGCAATGTCTGTCTTGTCTTCTGACATGCATCTTCGTATGGCTGTAACACCATTCCCTGCATGGATCCTTAGTTTTGAAACTAATAAGACACCATCGGTTACCCAATTAGAGGATCGTCATCGTCATCTTCCTGCAGCTGGAGGCGGGAGAACGAACGGGAGGCAGGCACTCTGTTCTGCGTGAATATCAGGAGGCCTGTGAGCATGGTTAATAGCAACAGTGCACTGATGACAATTCCGATGACCTCGGGGAGATTGAGGCACCACTGGTCCACTAGCAAGCACTTGGCATGGCTGAACGTTCCATTATTGGCCTGTGGTTTCAGTCCCAGGATGTGGCACATCATTGGGTAAATATCTACAGTGTTAATGGTGCTCTGCCTATAGCCTCTTCTAAAAGCAGGGCCATGGGCAGCAAGAAATGGATGCATTGAAGGCAGGGAATTGTCATAGCCATGGTCACCTACTGGGAAAGAGACAAAAGCATCCGTCTTTTGTTACAAAATAACATGTTCACTATAAATGTACTAGCTTCTTGCCAGCCTACTTCCCAGCCATTAAAAGTCTGGCTGGCTGCACTACAGAAGACAGAAATAAAATGTGTATTTCCTTCAACTTAGGCCCGCCCCCGTTTCATACGCACACTCTCTTCCCACTGGATCATGGCTTTAGACTTCAATGCTTGAACTGATGTACTCATGTTTCAGCCCCAACCACGCACCTTACTGACCCATCTCCAGGGCTAGTTGTAAAAACCCACTATCTACAGCACAGGTAGCTTAAAGAAGTGCTCAAGGGCTGAGGGTCCTGTACAGCCGAGAGAGTACAGGACAGAGGGCTGAATGGGAGGATGGAACTCCAGACGTATCTATCTCAGTTGTTTTAGAAAGAAATACCATGGCACAATGCATCACTGCCTTACTGCCAGTTAATAAGCACCTCGAAAAGTCAGTTAGGTCAGATAAGTGAGGACTTAAGAGAAAGCATTTGTGTACTGAATATAAAAGAAATCCAGACAACGCTAGCTCATAACTCCAGTAAATGTCTGGCTCAAAGAAAAATGCGGCTAACCATCCCTGATGGAAACCCAAGCCCGGATTCTTCGGTTTCGCTCTAACAGCCTCGTCTGTGAGTGTGTATCCCTTGCATTTCATGAATTTCCATTTTAGGGGTACGGAAGTTTGTTGAAATGCTGTGGGACTGGTATGACAAGTCTCCAATGATCCCACAGCAGTTAAATTTTTAATTCAAGTCAGCATCGTGGAGGAAGGAAAGTCCCACAAATAACATGTGCTTATATTCCCATACTCGCAGATTGTGATGGGTTTGTTCTCTGTTCTTTATTTTCCAAGTTTACAAAATGAGTATTTAAAACAACATAAATTTTACACAAACTCACTTAGTCTGTTTTACCCTTACCTCATACTTCCAAATTCCCATCCTATAGTCTGCAACCAAATTTGGCCCTTCACCTGCTTTTGTAAGCTAACTTTCACTATGACATATGCCAGTTAGTGTACTAACTAGCCATAGCTGTTTTCATGCTGGAAAAACAGAGCTGAGTAGCTGAAACACAGACCAACTGGCCCACAAAGCCAAAAATACTTATTATCCTGCCTTTTAAGCAAGTTTGATGGCCCCTGCAATGCACTCCAATACCAGAATCCTTAAAGTCTTAAAATTAAATACAAAACACAGATGAATAATGCTCATTTGGGACAAGACCTGTAACTCACCCCTATACAGCCAATATTTGAAGAGGAGTTATGATGTATCTACTTTGCTCACTTGGTTAACTGTTTCCTTTGAACTCTTGCCTGGTGATCCACAGAACCACAGCATACAAGGAAGTGATTTTATTATTTGGGAAAGTCTGGGGGTCACTCGGGTCAGTTTAAAAAAAAATACCCATGAGGGAAAGGAATTAGAAAGTGAAACTGCAGCTTTTTCTTCAAGTTACACTGCCTCCTAATGGAAGAGGGAGTCTGTGGCCACTGTGAATGACTATCAAATGAAAATCACGTGAGAACGACCTCTGCAAAAGCGAACAGTATAAAGATAACTAAATCAAAGTACCTGCCTTCCAAAGCAAGGCCGCAATGTATGATGCAGCCCTGAGACTACAGAAATACCAGAAATAAATACTTACACTTTAATGATGACTTATTTAGTACAATTGTCCAGCCTTCATCAGCAACCAAGATGATAGGCTGAATTCGATCATTATGTCGGTAGTAAAATCTGTCAGGAATATCTTCTTTGAGATAAACATTCATGTGAGGGCTACAGTTTTTCAATTTTTCATAAACCTCTGTTATGTCTGTAAAAGGGATACAAAAGGGAAAACCACAGTTGACTTTGAAGCAAAGCTGTACCTGACTAGCATACATAGGAATACATTCTGGACAGTAGTATCTGATTAAATTACTTTTAATTCTCAGAACAGAAGGTACTTATGTCTTATGTGACAGTGTCAGAGATGGGCACACACACATACACAGGAACTCTTATTAATCCACCTATCTCTTTTCATTATGTGGCCTGTGCTAGTTGACTTAGGAAGGGGTCAATTTTACACTGAGTTCCTAAGCAAATATAAACTATGTATTACTACTGATTCTTAATTCCATCACTGGAAGAAATTTCCATCTTACTTATTTGAAACTACTACTTACTTGTTTTGGGAAGAATTGCAGCCACGGGGGTTAAGTCTATAACACTGTAGTTTGAACGGTCGATGCAGGAATCCAAATGTATCAGTCTGTTTTCAGAACACTGAGTCATCCCGTGGTCACTTGTAATGATCACATTAAGGTTGTCCCACATTCCTAACACCTTGAGCTTTTGAACAAGATCGCCAACAAGGTCATCTATTTCTTTCAATACTCTGCTCATGTTTACTCTGTCTTCAGGCCCGTATTTGTGGCCACTCGCATCTGGTTCTTCCCAATAGAGCATTGCAAAGGTGACGGGTGGGTTGGAACTACTGAGCCATGTGGTGACATTATTTAGTCTCTCCTCAAAGGGCACTGAGCTGCTGTAATTCATAAAATAGGAAGGTGTAATATTGTGAATGAGCACATCTGTACCAGGCCACATAGCCGCAGCACTTGATCTGTTTTCTTGAAGCTGATTGGTCACCCAAATAGGCACTGCCCCATCCCACCAAAATGAATCCTTATCATTAGAGTCTGAAAAATGTTTCTTTGTGACGTCATCATACATGGTGTTGGCCACAATGCCATGACTTTCCTCATATAAGCCTGTCACAATGCTGTAGTGGTTTGGAAACGTTTTGGTGATGAAAACGTTGGTAACATGTTCCACCAAGACACCTTCTTTGATGAAGTTCTGGAGATGAGGAAGGTCATAGTTCTTCAGGTAGTCAGCCCTAAAGCCATCAAAGGACACCAGAAGCAACTGAGGTGTCAAGCTATAGGAAGAGTTACCGCTACAACCAGTGAGGAGTCCCAGAAATAAAAGTATTACTAATAACTTCATAACGAACAGGTTGAACACAGCAGCCAGGGCTCCTAAAATACAAAAGCACAGTTCAGGAAGTAGCAACACTATTAAAGTTTCAGAAATTTAACCAACAGATGAGAAATACCAGCTTTACTGATGCCAATTTAGAACTTCAATTTAAAGGCAACAATAAAAAAATGTCTTTACTTGTCCAGTTTCCTAGTGATGCCTATCCCACCCACCATCAAGCTCTGCGGGGACAATGGGGCTTGTTTTGTTTTGTTTTGTTTTTGTCCCCATGAACATTCCTGCTTTTCTATTTTTCTCATCTAAAGGTTTACAGAAAACAGATGAAAATATAAAACTGACTCTTTTGTTCAAAATACAAATAGTTCCAAGCTTTCAGAAGTTTTGTTAGTTTGTTGTAGTCCATAAGCATAGCTGGTAGAAACTGTAGCATACTGACTCACTCCAGTTTGTATTTAAGAAAAAACACTGCCATAAAGTATAGACAACATAAATGCTACCCGAGGGGGGAATCTCATCACGCACTTGCTCCAATTTTGACATGAGGGTGACTAACTGGCAAAGTTTATAACGACTTGGATGCCACAGTGACCTCAGAAGAAATTTAAGTTGCTAAAAGGAATTTCATGTCTACACCACCCTTACACTCCCTTCTTAGTGCTTTATCATGGCTATTTTTCGCTCTTTAAAAATGATCCACTGGCTGCCTGATTGATTATGTGGAACTTTATAGTGTTTCTAAAATGTTTCAAATACAGTTACATCTAGCGAAGAGATGAGGGGAAGACTCAACGAACGTTGCAAAGACAGCTGGGTAGCCACATGCAGAAGAATTACCATGGTGTGCCCTTTTCCCACAAAATATTAACGAAAAACCCTTTCTTCCCAAATCCCGAATTAAAAGGATATTCAAAATACATATGATGTTATAAAACCCAGGATTAGGAAACTCAGCATGTCAGTCAACTCTCACTGAACTACCTACCACACTAAAGCATTACAGGCTTCGGTTGGAAAAGGGCAGGGAAACAGCCACTTTCCAGCATTAGCATCCCATCTGCTCTGTGGTGCAAGGAAACATAAATGTGTTTTTACAATAGCATTATCCATTACCGTCTGTGTGGACGGCAACATAACAGGCGGTTTACCCATGAACCTTTATTAAGTGCTTAGCCATCTAAGGGAAGAAACCCAACACCCGAGTGAGAGCTTTTCCTATGTCCTCCAAGACCCTACGATTCTAAATGGTTCTCCGCTATGCTAGGCCACCTAAGATTTTCTAGCATCTTCGAGTCAGTCCATCAGTCTTGCTGTGTATAAACTGTCCCTCTCGAAGCACTCACTGTCGATCCGACAAAATTTCTTCCTGATTACACTGTTCAAAGCTGACTTTAAAATCAGTTCATGGGAAGCGGGGAGCTCGAAAGCGTCCAATTCCCTTAAAATTGGGGAGATCTCTGGGAAGACGGGGAAGAAAGAAAACCACACTTGGGCGTCCCTGCAGCAGGCCACCCCACCGGAGTCCTCCCAAAGGTGCACGGGGATTTTCCGGTCACCAGCTGGACAGCCCTCAGGGCTCCGGGCGGGGACCAGCTTGGGACCGGTTGTTTGTGCAGAGCCCGGCTCAGCAGCATCCGGCATCTTCCTCCCGCTCGCTCTGGTAAGTTTTTGTGTTTTTGTTTTGTTTTTTAGGACGAGAACGTCAGGTTGACTGCACGACAGCACTAAGCCCGGGGCGGACCCCCAGGGCAGTGGCCGGGCCAGCACGTCCGTCCCCGACCCCCGCCCTCACCTCAGGCCGCCGATCACATTCACCTGCTCGGGTGCCCGCTCCACCTTCCCGCCGCCCCGCGGCACCTCCCGCGCGTCCCCGCCAGGTGATAGGAGCCTCGCGTGGAGAAGGGACCAGAAGCTCTCACTGTCACTGTCACTTCCCTCCGCCCGCGGCGAGCTGGGAAGGGAGTGGCATTTCCCTTCGAGACTCACCCGCCACCGCGGCCACCTCGGTCCGGCGCGCGCGGAACTCGGCGCTAGCGGAACCGCGCGCTCCGGGACACTTGTGGGCAAGCGGACACAGGCCGAGCGGGGCTCGGCCGAGCGCTTCCTGGGACGCCTGCGCAGTGGCGGACGCCCACCACGCCAGGGACAGCGCGACACCGCCGAGATCTGAGCTGCCGGCGGCGGCGCTCTGAATGCGCAGCTGCCCCCGGCACCGCGCAGAGCGGCTGGACCCGCGGGAGTCTGAGACGCGCATCTGGATTGGATGCCCGAACCAGGCCCGAATGAGACTCCCTTCCCCATTGGTCCGTTTCTCGTGCCGCTCGGAGACAGGTGGAGTTAAACTGGACCTGGCGGGTGGGGCGTGGGGGAAGGTTTGACCTCTTCTTATCATCCTAGTTATGGGTGCCCAGTTTTAGCCAGAAGGTGAGGAAGTCCCTTCTGAAAAAGTTCACTTTTTCTGGGCATTATTCTGCCCTTTGGAATTCCTTTTCTGTTACATACTCTGGTCATCTCATCGGGACATTTCATTCTGTTAAGAATAAGGTGTTTCCTGCGTCTACAATTCCCCATTAAATCCAACTAGGGTCGTCAAACTAAATTTGTTCCTGTTTTTCCTTTTCACACAGCTAATAAGCGCACGTGAAACCATGCGCTTGCCTTTGAAAAGAGTATTAGTCAGCCAATGCAGTGGTGGCGCACTCCTTTAATCCCAGCAGAGGCAGGTGGATCTCTGTGAGTTTGAGACCAGCCTGGTCTACAAGAGCTAGTTCCAGGACAGGCTCCAAAGCCACAGAGAAACCCTGTCTCAAAAAACAAAACAAAACAAAACAAACAAACAAAAAAGAGTATTAGCCAAATAGCTGAACAATCCAAACAGAGATATATTTAATGTTTGTATTGCTCAGACACAGTTGACAAATAGAGTATTTTTCTTTGTATCTGTAATGCCCAGAGATGATCCTGAAATTGAAGTAATTCCATCTTTGTAGAATTTAATGAGGTATTTTATGGCACTCCAGGTTTAATGTTCCCTTCTTCTACTAAAATGCAAGTGCCCAGAGAATATTTGCACTACTGTGTGCACACCAGATACTCAGAAGGTACAATGAAATGAGTGAAGGATATCACAATCACATACTATATGCTGGGACCAAAACACTTACCTGTGAACACAGTACCTGGATTTATCGGTTCCTTGCTGCAATGGTCATTAAATGTGAGACTGAATCTGGTACATTGGTCTGAGTTGCAAATTTAGCCGTAGCTAAGGCCATGGGTACACCCGAGGAAGCAGTTTGAATCTGAATGTGGCCTGTTCGTTAGTTTACCTTGAGAGATTGATTCCAGTTTCAAGCCTCCAATAGCCCTGTGCATTAGAAAGTGGAGCATTTTGGATCCACGGGTTGTCTTTGCTGAAATCTTGGTAGAAGCCATCTAATTCAGCCCTAGAACCTGCCGACACTGAGTAATCTAGGGCACTTGCCTGAGCCTGTGCGAGCTTCCCTTCCTCACTGGCACATGAAGCTCTGCGGTACCAGTCTTTTGGGATTCTTGTCAGACTCAGTACAGCAAATAATGCACTCCGCATAGTCACTGATCGTGGTATTAGCTGTGACTGTGATGATGATGACTCAGAGTGTCTCCATTTTGAACAACGGTTGGGGTAAGATGGAGCTCCAGAAGAATTTATGTAGCATACAGTTTAGCAGAACTTAACTTTTCTGCATTTGGGAACTGATTCTGCATATTCTGCTGCTTCCTTACTAGGGACACAATTGCTTGAGTGCTGTGTGGGTGACAGGCATAATGAAGAGAGCAGTGTGCTGGTCTCCAGGTGGAAGAGAAGGTTCCTCCACCACTGCTCCTGCCTGTGTGTGGATCAGCTCAGAGTCCCATGCAGTCTGGTCTCCTCCTGGTAAGGTTAGGTCGTCAAAAAGGAAGGAAAGAAGCTGGGCGATGATGGTGCATGCCTTTAATCCCAGCACTTGGGAGGCCAGGCAGGTCTCCACGAGTTCTAGGTGAGCCAGTGTGAGGACAGCTAGGGGTTTTACACAAGAAACCCTGTCTCAAAAACAAACAAAAAGCTGCAATTGTGTTCTCCCCTGGGGAGGGGGAGAAACAAAAACAAAACTAAGGGAGGAAATGATTCCTTTTGGCACCAGACTCCTTTGACACATAATTTCCCTTATCAACCATAATTGAAATTTTGTGTCAAAGCCTAAATGATGATAAGAGTCATTGGTTTCCTTGTAGAACAAGAACCAGAAAGAAGGTGCACTTCGGAAATTACTGACTCTGCAGCTTAGTGAGGGAGCCTTTACTCAAGCACACCGCTTTTTCTTTCTACCTGGAAATTTATTGGCATCCGATTCCTTTCATGGGAAAGATAACTACCTGTGCTTGCAGGAATGACAGGGTCTACTTTTCTTCATGCTTTCTGGGTAACTTACAGGACTTCTCTGGGGTTTGGTCTCTTAGTGGCACCACCTCTGTTGCAGTTAGACTAGCTGCTGTCTCACATGCCCAGCAGTGAACGAGTGAAAACAAAAACAGATACCTACCGGTCTCTCCATCCACACCCTAAGCTGAGCACTGGGCAGGAACTATTTTTCCCAAACTTCTTTTTTCCTAAGTAGGTTTGAGATGGAGTGATTGCTGAAAAGTGCACTAAAGTGTCCTAAATATGTAAAGGTAAAAGAATGTGACATTAAAGCTAATCTTCACTTCTAATGTAATTTTTGACTTAAATATTGTTTTCTTAGTAGACAAAAGAATAACATTCACTTTAATATTCTTTCATTTCAGTTTTCTGAAAATAGAGCCTTTATGTTGTGGGATATACATTAAGATGCATTTGTTTATGCAGTGGAATATTTGTTCGATGATACAAAGATGTGTTTCATTCTTTTATGCTGCATTCATTTAACTCTGTGAAGCTGTGTTACTTTGCCTGTCTAAAACACCCGATTGGTCTAATAAAGAGCTTAACGGCCAATAGCTAGGCAGGAGAGGAATAGGCAGAACTGCCGGGCTGAGGGAATAAATAGAGGAGTAAATAAAGGAGGAAGAGAAGAGGATGCCAGGGGCCAGCCATGGAGTGAGAAGGAAAGAAAGAGATAGAATAAAGAAAGGTAAAAGCCCAGAGACTTAAGATAGGCGGGATAATTTAAGAAAAGCTGCAAGAAATAAGCCAAGCTAAGGTCAGGCATTCATAAGAAAGAATAAGACTATGTATTTATTTGTGAGCTGGGTGGTTGTCCCCCAAATAGTAAAAGAGTTTAAAAAAACACCTTTAAAATCATTTTGTGTTAGAGACTGCAAGGAAGCAATAATCTAAACTTATTCACAAATGATGTGCCCAAGAGAAAACTGACCAGGCTGAATTCACACAGGCAATGTCTGATTCAAAAGCAGCATGTCATGGGTTGTTTTCTTCTGTGAACTAAGTTCAAGGTTTCCCATCTGTTCATTACCTCAAAATATTAAAATAATCTTATTCTGTTTTCAAAGCTAAGGGTATATCTCTTTATATGTGTGTGTGTGCACGCACACTTACACACACACACACACACACGAGAGAGAGAGAGAGAGAGAGAGAGAGAGAGAGAGAGAGAGAGAGAGAGAGAGAGAGAGAGAGAGCCAACAAGAAATGTGATGCCTAACTTAGTGTTATCAGGAGTTAGGTCAGAAGTTACAGGAAAATGGTTTCAGAACAAAAGCCACACCCTGGCCAAAACAAAACAGCCCTCCTCACTGTTTTAATAAGACAGTCACAAAACACAAAAGAGTGAATCAACTCTTCGGGAGAGTGTTTTATAGTGCAGATTCTGTTGTATACAAGCTGTTTATGTTAAGAAACATAGTGTAGGTTTTATTGTAGCTATAAGTCATAAAAGTACCTTATGAAGCATAGCTCCCTGGTGGTTTTTGAGAGTTCAGTGAATGAAATCATCCACCTACCTTCCTTTAAGCAATTTACATTTGAATGATCTCAGTTAGGAGAGATGGGGATCCTACCACACTGAAATGCTCTTTAAAACCATCCTGTATCATCTACCATGACATTTCTTCATCCTAAGAGGTATCTCCCCAAGTATTTAATAAAATGAAAGAAAGAGAACAGCTCTTTGGAGGCTTTCTTATATGGAGGGTAATGTGCTCATCCGCCCCCTGCCCCCCAAAATGAAAATGAGTAACACTCATTCCCTTCCCTCATGGGGTCTCTAACCTAGAAGGGTGAAGAGAAAAGGTATTATTCGGTGTTTCACCTGCCACTCACCCTTCCCTCCTTTTTCTTGTGGTTGGTAGAGACTGTCCACTTTCTTCGTTTAGGGTTTATGTGCATTATTTTTAATTATGTGAATGTGGGTGTCTGTGTGTGGCTATGTGCTAGTAAGGGCGGGAGCTGAGGAAGTCAGAGGCCTCAGGTCTCCCTGGAGCTGGTGTTCCATGCAGTTGTACCCTGCCTCAGGTCCCCTGAATGAACCCCGAATGCTCTTCCCCGCAGAGCCATCTCTCCAATGCACGAGGAGAGCCCCAGCCATCATTCTTAGCCTGTGAGAGCTCAGTGAGCTAGCCATAGTACTTCCTTATCCCCAGCATGGACACCTAAGGTGCCAGCTGTCTTGGTTTATAGTAAATTGAGGACTTTCCTGGGGATTTTTAAAATATAAAATCAGAAGAGTAATAAACAAATTGGAGTGAGTTGGTCAAAACGGAGCTCAGCCTGGCCTGTTGGAGGGATTCTACCCCTACCCACAGGAATTCGTTCAGTCATGGGGACATGCTCCAGGCCAGTCCAGAACAGCACAATCTCTAAACATTTGTTGAAATAATTAGAAAAGTCTGTGTTTCACCAGAATTGCTACATTGGAAGGCTGTATGCCTGGAGCTCATCCTGGTCAGCCTTGTCACTGGAAAGGGAAGGTCTACTGGGGTCTGAACCAAGGC